TTTCCAGAAAATCAACGTCAAGTTTCATGAATTTAGTATTTGGATTAAAAGTCTTATTAACATTGTGATTTGTTCTGAATCAGTGCTATCAGGTTGCTTTAATCACGAACTCTCGGTTTCTGTCACCCCGTCGATACGTCCAGATACAATACTCGAGAGTATATGGATATAACTCATGCGTTAGGCGCATGTGATGGTCACACTTCCGCCGTGGCTAATTACCATAGAGACCGATCTCCCAATCATCGACATCCCGGCGGGCGTGTTATACAAAGACCAGAACGAACATGATTCGTTTCATCCAACTCTACCGTGGATAGAATGAATCGCCGAGAAGAAAGCATTGTACAGGATGGAATGAAATGGAAAAAACCTCTTAACATCAAAGTAGTATTAAAAATTGATTTTCTGGAAAAGATAGCATTAGGAAAATTGTATGGCTTTTCTTGTGCCTGTTTCTCCATTTGGAGTCACTACTGGTTGTACCATTTATTGCAACGTATTTAAATGTATATAAATATATGAATATACAAATATATGTACGTATACGAGTATATAAATATATGTATGCGTGTGCACATATATGTTTACGTGCATATGTGACCTAATGAAACACTTGAGTGTAATAACCTTGGTGTTTTAGACAGCATTAATTATCGTTTTTACGTGTAATTCTTGAAGAAAGGAAAGTGGAGAAGTGAACTTCTGCCTTGGGTTGTATTATGCAGGGTGGGCCACTGTTACAAATTATGGTCCCGTATCCGTTGTATATGTGTAGGTGTCAGTGCAATACGTCGTATAGATTCGGCATCGCAAAGCAAAAATGTACCGATTCCGAGCTGCAATCTTCTTTATGCTTCAGAAAATGTCTCATTTGTCAAGGGAGAGTTTGATACGATGTAGCTTGATCACAAGCCTGAACGTTCCTTGTAAACTATTTACTGCGTTTGGAGAGATTCGACTAACATTTTTCGATTCTTTTGCATTCCTGTTTATGAACACTAACCAAACAATTTGATGCTTTCAGAGGAATAATAACTGTCCTTGTATGCACTTGCGGAAGATAATTGTTGGACAACAATTGCTGAAGTGATAATGAGATTTCGAGCACACGTTTTTCCAAACTTTCCTTGTTATCGTTAGGTCTCGAATTCTGACCAGTTTCATTTTCTGCTTTTTTAAAAAGTTTCAATTTGCTTCACTATGATCCTTCTCATGACAGGGAAATATCGTTGAATCTGTTAGGGGACAACGGAGTAGCATTCCCATTTCTTAATAGACACTTAACATTTCTAACATTAACAACGCACATTTGAAATTTTATTTACTCTCCATAGATGAAGAGTATAATTTTAAATCATATTTAAAATTCATAGAGTCTTTTGTATTTATTTGATATTTAAAGTAATATTTGTGTTTTACAAAAGCTTAATTAATTAAATATTTTTCATATAAGATAGCATTTCAATTTTCAATTTTCAATCTGAACAATATTCATGTCCAACTCAATCAGAATACCTAGTAAATTAACTTTAAAATGATCAAATATGTCTCCTGTCTAGAAAAATGTTGTTCTCCATTACATCTTTTCATCTATGTGGAAAAACTTGTTAAAAGACGTTTGCAACCAGTTTCTTTTATTATCTAGCTTCCTTTGCCCCCTATACGATCCAATCAGTGATCTTTATCGTACCCAAAGGTTCCAGTCACTCGTGATAATACTAACGATAGGTACATCTCCCATTGCTCCCCGAGTTTTGGCGGAAACTCTTTGTAACAGTTCACATGACCCACCCTGTATACGCTTTATATATGTACGTGTCGATGCACATGTATGAAGCTGTATGTATACGCATATGTATATTGCTAACCATAACATGTCATGCGTAGTTTATGTTTGATTAAGGGAATATCAGTGAGCCAGAAAACAAGTTGTTAGATTAGGGAAGAGTGATACAATTGTTTGTACGTTCTTTTCAAACTGATCATCATTCATGATTTGTGTCATTGCGAATGTAATTTTCTGTAAAACGACAAGGAAACCAACAACACCGGGTAACACGCGGCTGTTAGTCCCATCGGAATATGTAAGTGTAGCGCTTACTCATACACGATCACGTCTACGGATCTGTGACGCGAGTTGTCGCGAAACGGAACACTCGGTACATTTTTATTTCGTAGACAAAGGAAAGCCCTGGAGATGGCAAACATAATTTTTTTTCGTTTCTAACAGCATCCATGCTCGGTTACAAAATTGTTCGCTGTTACACAAAATTTCCCTAATTAATGTTAAAAGAAATTTAATGATTTTAGTTTGAGAGGAAAACAAATTTTAATGGTGCAATTAAAAATGTTAGAAATTATTCAGTAGTATTCAAAAAGGTTTGCAAACATGAAAAATAAAGAATGAGGACTTGGGTACCTTGCACTCTCGTGCACGAGCATCAATTTATTTTAATTAGAACGTTTCGGATCTTAGATTTGAATCAGTTTCAATGAATATTCTAATTAGAAAGTTTGAATGGTATTATTAAAAGCAAAAACATACTTAAAATATACAAATATAGTTTAAATATAAATCGATGATTGCAATGATACTTGGAATATTTACATTAGAATCTTTCTAATCATACTTCAGTTTTAGTTTTCTAATAATTATGCGTCCACTCATACTTCTCAAAAATTAAATAAAATAAACCTCACGAATGCATTTACGCCATGCGATCGTTCGAACTGACCATTTAAACATATTTTTATTAATTATTAGCGTTAGAAGACTTCCTCCAAGCATTGGAGGCTTCCTTGTGGTATGTCTTCGACGTTAATCGCGTTTCAAGGTTTCGTTGCGAGACATATTCGATAAAACTTTATACAAAGGAATAGACATGGTTGCTGCCTCAAGAAAGAATGCTCACCAAAGAAAAAATTATGTTTCCTCCCATCTTCCAGACTATCGAAGACGTTTTAAATTTCTCTTTACCTCCGTATCCTAGAGAAATATTCAGGTTTCCTATTTTCGACGACTCGCCGTGCATAATTCGTAGCCTTTCCGATAATTTCACACACATCGACGTCTCTGTTGGTCATAGCACCTGAGGCACACGAGGCGTCACTCGTCGAATGTACTTCGATATTGCTCCTTGATCGATTGTCGTTTCACACCGTGCCTAGTATCGACGATGTGATTTTTGTCAGCGACACGATTTTCGCCAGGCGTTAGCTTGCGTGCATTTTTTTGAAGATGCGTTCCGTCGCGTCGAGAACAGAAAGACCAATCAAAAAAAGCAAACAAAAAAAAAAATAAATAAAAAAGAAAAGCAAAAGAATAGAGAAAAACAAGTAAACACATAGAACCAGAGTAAACGCGAGACGTCCACGACTGTTTTGGAAGCTGACTGTATGTTTCGAGCGACGGATATTGCGACGAGTAACGCGTCCGATTAGCATACTCGACGTGTGCGAGCATTTTGAACTGTCGGGTACTTTCTCTACATGGGCAATAGGACTCGAACGACACGGTACCTCTTTTTTCAGTAACGGTTAGACAACAAATGGTATACGTCTACGTAACTTCGATCACGTACACACGACACTCACGTTTTGACATTTATATACAACAAAACGTCGGTCCCGTATGATAGATTTAAAAGTAATCCTTGTCAGTAGGGCTTAATGTCAACCATGTGTTGTTTTTTTTTTATCCTTTTTTTTTTCGGAGGGGCCCATGTTGGATTCAGTTGGCACGCAAGAATCGCCAATTTCCCTTTGTCTCCGCCAAAAAGGGGATTTGTTTCGCGCGCAAAAGCAAAGATGATATCTAAATTAACGAAACGGTATATCGGGTGTCGGCTGAGTTCACGATGAGCCTCGCATCGACTATTATACAGAGTAGTATATAAAAGTGGAGCATGGAATGGTCATGGTGAAGTTTTTGTACTTGACGCAATAACACTTATCACGTTTAGGCACCATTTTATATCTGATTCGCTTGTAACAGCAAGAAGTATATCTATATATATATATATCATTATTAATGTACATCGCACGTAGAGTTAACACGAATAGAGTAAACCGAGTTTTGTGCTTGTATTTGATTGCAAGAATCGAGACACGAACGAGCCTGCACTCTTACGTACTTTTTTTTTTATCTAACTCTTGCCACGTTTATCATTTCGTTTTATTTTTATTTTTTTTTTTTTAATTCCTTGTACATTGTATTATTATCTAGTACAGATTACTTACTGTGTGCGTGTGTATGCGTGTGAGCGCGCGCTTGTGTGTAGTTGTTCGATCACGTTAGTTGGTTAAAAACAAAAAAAAAAAACGACTCACAACCAATTCCTATTTTTTCGCAGTTCCCGGGTAAGTTTAGTTCATTAATTTTCAATCTACGTTAATAATTAATACCAAAGATAGATACCATAACGGGAGTCGCGGTTGATAGATTGAAAAAAACGTGTCGAATCGATCCCGAGAAATTCTAACGATAGTTCTGTCTTCCTTCGAACAACTGACACGGAACTTTCACTACGAATATTATATTTGTATACTTCTTTTTTTTTTTTCTAATTTTTGTTCATTGTGGCAGCAGACTAAATTGGCACAAGAAAGAGCTGAAAAAATTTAGATTTCTCAACGATAATATATCCACGTTTGTCTCTCTCTTTCTCTCTTCGTTTCGTTTGCGCCAGTTTTCGTTTCGCGCGTACTCGTTTGACCGTGTTTACACCCTCGAGCAGCATAACGACGAGTGGCCCTCGAGGGGCATGTTCAAAGAAAGAAAAGCAAGTGGGAAACGCACGGTTAAAAGCCGGCTGGTCAGCACATGCGAGAGAGAAAGAGAGAGAAAGAAAGTGAGGGAAACATAACGAAATCCTTAATTGGTTGAGACGTATGTAATTACATAGAACGTGTACATGGTAGTTGCTTGTAAGTTTCACTTCTTTAAACTTCTCGTACTTCAGCGGGAGTGGAATCTAATTCGTTCGTTGTGTTGGCAGACATATTGTCGTGTGTGGCCACATCACCTACGAATCAGTCTCACACTTTCTCAAGGACTTCTTGCACGAGGACCGCGAAGATGTTGACGTGGAAGTTGTCTTCTTGCATAGGTATGACCATCGATTATTACTTTAATCCTTCCCAATCTCAGAGTCTGCGTGCACTGTACTCCCTTAACCTCATTTTCATACAGGAAAGCCTGTATAATCGATCTGCACCATTTTTCTATTTATTTTGAACAAAGTTACGCGCGCAGTCTGGAACTACTGATTGGGCCCAAACAGATTTTTATGTTTATGAATATATTTAGTATTTAAAAAATCTATTTTCTGTGTAAGCAATTGTATTGTTGGGGAGCAATTGTTCGACGAGAAATTGCGATTAATTTTATATTCGTTTGTCGACGAATAAACCATTTTTGTCGAAAATCAATCATCGTATTTTGTCTAGTTTGAAAAGTCGCATAAACTGGTATTTTTATTTTTTAAATAGTAAAATATAGTATATATAAAATGTACTATATTATATACTCTTTTGAGGCCAATCAATTGTTCGCGTCTGTATCCTCCATAATTGCGTTTCGATTAATCAAAGCCATTCCTATATAAATGTAATGTTTCGTGGCTTGCACTAATTCAAATCATACAGGTGATTATACAGGCCAATAATCATCCCTTTGTCTTCTCATCATGAATTCGAACATAACATTGATTTTGTACGATACAGTGTATCCAAATTTGTCGTATCGCTAAAAAACAACATCTTCCAAATGAATGCTAACGAACATCGCCGTTTCCACTTTCATTAACGTTAAGTATAATAACAGTCGTTGATCGATACGAAATTAAGTAAGTCTGCTACTGTGATCGTTACCGATAAGCACTCGTTAATCAACTACTCGTGCGATATACCGATAAACACCGTCAGGAAAAAAGACGATATACCTAATATCGTTGGTCAGAGGTAACAATGGGTAAGTTTAGGTTGCGTCGCGCGTAGGTGTCCCAGTTACGCAAGTGGTTCTGCGGTTAAACGACCAAGGACGATCAGACTCCGTGCGATCCAGCGTTTCGTTCTCGATCTTTTAGCTCGTGTCCCGTTCGACAGGAGGAAGGACACGCCTGGTCGTCGACGGACGTTTATGGTTGTTCGGTTACATCGAGGTCTGATCGTCATTGTCGTAAGGAGTGATCTGTGTTTTCAGGAAAGAGCCAGATCTCGAATTGGAGGGTCTCCTGAAGAGGCATTACACGACCGTGGAGTTTTTTCAGGGCACCATGATGAATGCCGTGGATCTGGAACGCGTCAAGGTACCCTTGAACCCTAGAACAACCATCATACAAAAAAACCTCCACCAACCATAACACCCCGCAAAAGCAACCCACCTGACGCCGTGGCCCCTCGCGCTTCTCGTTTCTTTGCAGTTCTTTAGGCTATCGCGCGATTTAGGTTACCCAACCTAGACCGTAATTCGACGTGCGATTTAGATATATTTGTACAGTTGTACACAAGGCGACATTGAGCGGAAATATACGTATGCGTTTACGGTTGCGTCGCGACTTGCGGCCTCATAGAAAACGATCGGCGTCATTTGTCACCGAAGTTGCTTGCATCGAGATTATTGATCCCATGGCGACAACACGACTGTCACACTTACGCCGGAGTTAGGTGCATACAAACACAGTACTGAGAACTACATCAACGCCAGGATTCTCTCTTTCCACTTGTTTACCATTTTTCGATCTACTTTTTTTACTCATATCTATCTCTTACTCTCTCCTATTTCTCTATTTCGTTTTACTAGTTATATGACGTTACCCGGTGCCACGTTCGCGATCGACGACGACATCGAGAAACGCGGATGCGAGGCAAACTTGTTGACCGGAATTTGTGTGAAGTTTTTGTGGCACCGTGTTGCATTACATATAAATGTACACGTACAAAGTTGATTCTTGTGGAGTGATCAATGCTGTTGATAGAGGGCTCTTAATAATAGATATAGTCGGTTCGATGAGTAATACCGCACGAAGTAGACGATTATTTCGTTCGTAGAAGCATCGCAATTAATTTTGTTAATAATATGTTACCTCGTGAAATAATAAAGACTGTTCACTTCTCTTTTATTCTTAGAATATTTGAAGCTAATTAAATAATAATATATAAAATTAATAAGAATGAATAGCAAAAAAATTTGTGCATTGAACTCATATAAAACCATATGCCACGTTACGAAGTGATTTTCTAAATCAAAATCCTTTTTCTAACCCTTCCATACAAATTTCATCTCAACTCCTCAAGCTTCGGATCACTTCAGAGAAACAATTCAGTACGCGTTGGAGTATGTATATAGTACAAGGCATACATGTATATACCAATATATACTCGAACAAGCATACGTACATAGCATATGTACATATACATACATACATATATGTACGAACTACATGATTATAACATAGTATAATTACAACGTAGAAAGCAACCGCCTGCGACTGCATGGTATGCTGTAATGAGCTATGGAGCCGAATCAGCGTGCAGTAGAGACTTACTTAGATCTATTATATTATCACATATCACACATATCTCGTGTATCCATAGCCCACGAGGGAGGTCACTCCTGACCAACAATAGAATAGACGAAAAACAGTATCTAGCGAACCTATAATCCCTGGATATCCATAGGTGATATCTTAAGGAGGATTTTCGCTCTCTCGAGAGAGAGGGAGACAGCGATTTCAGAACCATTTTAGTTTACATTTATAAGTCAGATGTCCGACGACCTGCCTGTTCAGCGATATCTCGCGAAAAGCGCGGTTCGATGCCAGAGGTGAACGTTTTTATAAAGAAAAGCATATCGTTTTGTCGGGCCGATGCCATTTAGGAAACCACCAGATCTCGAGCTAGAGGGACTGTTCAAGCGGCATTTCACCACCGTGGAGTTCTTTCAGGGGACAATCATGAACCCCATTGATCTGCAGCGAGTCAAGGTGAGTCTCATATATCTACCGCCCAAAAAAAGAAAAAACCCCGCAACCCCGATCCCCTTATTCACGAAGTAAGTGTGCGATAATCGCGCTGACTAATTTGGAACGACCCGTGTGTATCGCGCGACTACCCTTACGGACGCCTTCCCTTTCTGTCGATACACCATGAGTCGCTGGATCCCTCGTTTCTTCGGTGGCAGCTCCCATGACGACCTTGCTTCGGTCTTCGAGAGACAAACTAAGGAGAGACATCAACCATTATGTGATTTTCTTGCATATTTGAGGGGTGAAATGCACCCTGTTGTAGATTTAAGATGTTTAATTATATTTTTCATTGATCCATCAAGCATTACATAGTATTATTTTCTATTTAAATATAGTAAAAGAAATAATTAGAAATGTCTTACAAAAAGTTAGATAGTGTCCTTTGGAATTTGCAAGGAATCTTCCAAAAATTAATTTAGCCTCGGATGAATCATTAAGTAACATGTACATTATCATTTTTTTTTGCCTCTACTTCTTCGACACTTTAGAAATAATTTTATTAAAAAATATCTCCCCAATTTTTAAACAAATAAAAATATAGTTACAGTGGACATTGTTTTCTCCCCATAATAGAGGACCGAAGTATTGAGGTCGAAAGCATTCGAATAATACAGTCACCTGGAATAACAATACATAATTTTACAGTAATTGATTATTTTGAGATACTCTGACCATTAATGAAAATACGAAGACAGTCACGGTTGCTGCCACGCGAGTCGGTGTCGCTCTGAACTCGACGTTTGTGCAACAGGACAAATGCTGTTACTCAAGGATGATTGTTGCTTGTGTGTTTCCTTTTGTGCACATTAACCGTGTTTCGTGGACCCCTTTGACGCGTTTCCTATGCTGTCATCTGCTTTCGTGTCTCATCAGTCTGTAATCGCTCATTCGAATCGTGTCGGTCGCCAATGCGACCATAGACGATGACGAGTGTGCTCTTGGCGTCCACGTTGAAACCTTTAGACGAACAAAATTCGCTGAGAATCTCCGAGTTGTGCTAGCTCCCATCGAGGATTCTCGCGAGACGTCGCAACGGAGAGTATTAATATCAATAGTATCTCTTCCAACGTGTGCGCGTGTACACGTAAATGAATTCTGACATGCGAACTTGTATTAGAAAAATGTCTTTCGAAGGTCGTTTGCACCTACTGGATAGATCCATGCCTGCTGTCGATCCAGGTGGGTATGTGCTTGTGGAAGGATTAGTTTAAACATTAAACGAATCGTTTTTTCTAGGAGTTATCTTTTCTATTAGAGATTTAGAGTACTGGCGACGAGCAACAGCTCTTTGTTAGATGTGATACACCCCGCAGTACAAAAAAAAAAACACAGGCTATGATGTTTGGCTATGTTTTGCCTAGTATCTTTAATTTGTTTCTTTCTTGCGTATAGGTCGAACCTAGGTCACGTCGACGAACGTTCGACGAGCATGAGAGTGCTTTGATTCCGTGAACTCTAGCAGTTCGGCTTTTTAGTTAATATTTAGTGCATATGTAAGGAATGTTACTTGCTTTCATAGTTTATTTAGTGTTCTGGAAATTGTGTCGAGAGTACGTGTCGTCGGATACGACGGGAGAAAGGGAAGAAACACGGAAAAACGCGTGGAAGACTATTAACTTGCACGTGTGTGTTTTCATTTTGAAGAAGTGTAATTTTCACATGTTACGTTCGCTTCTGTCTATCCGCGACACGTAACAGAAACTGGCTTAAAGTTAATGCTTGCAAGGAATCTCAGCACGTAGCTGCATTCCTCTGTATGTTTCGACGACGAATCCCTCCATTTGTTATTTTATCGATTATGCACCACTTTTGATAAAGATTACACGTTTCACTTACTTCGAACGCAACCTTTCGCGGTTACTTATACAGATTTCCACCGAGTAGATTATATATACATGATAGAATATAAAGTATCGTTAGAACGGTTGTTAGAACGTTTCTACACTTGGAAGTAACACATACTCGTACGAATGTTAATAAAATCGGTTCAACTGAACGACGCTCGCGGTACTTTTACTTTCGCGGCGATTCCTTTGTTTACTATTTGTTCGAGAACAGTTTCGAATTTCAAACTTTGCTGCTGCTTTCTGACTCCCGCCCCCCCCGCCCCCCCGAATTACATCTACTTTTATTAATGATCCTGCGCGCGAGGTCATACGTTGGAATAAAAGTGTCTTGGTCCTTTTTAGGTACACGAGGCGGACGCGTGTTTGGTACTGGCGAACAAGTACTGTCAAGATCCGGACGCAGAGGACGCGGCAAACATCATGCGCGTAATCTCTATCAAGAATTATTCGGATGACATTCGCGTTATCATTCAATTAATGCAATATCACAACAAGGTACTACTTTTACGAAGTATTTCGGGGACTTTGACTAACTGGGATGAATCTGTTATTTATATATAATTTTGACGTAGTATCTCAAGTCAGATTATATCTAATCAATACCTAACATTGAATATTTTTTTAGCGTATACTTCTAATAGTTAAACATGTTAATTACAGATTTGGATTTTGTTTAACGCTGACTCAGCTTCTGCTTGCTGCTGCAATAAATTAATTTAAATTGGTGTCACCACTAAAGTCGATCCCACAATTAAAACACACTCGATACATCGAATATCGATTATAGAATTCAGATAAAAACTGCACCCCCGAGCCTTAGTCTACTCGTATTATTAAATAGAAATTCTCCCATAAATTCTCAGACTCGCTACAGAAATTAAAATTTGTTCCAGGCCTACTTATTAAACATTCCATCATGGGATTGGAAACAAGGCGACGACGTAATCTGCCTAGCCGAACTGAAGTTAGGTTTCATCGCGCAGTCTTGTCTGGCGCCGGGTTTCAGCACAATGATGGCCAATCTCTTCGCTATGCGTTCTTTCAAGACGGTCAGTAGAATGTCGTTCACCGGCAGACAAACGCTCTGTCCCCGTACTCTGTATCTATGCATGTGTGAAAAATGTTCCTTAGGTTTTTTCATGGTCGAGCTGTTCACAGTGATCGCGTTTGCGAGAGCCATTTACTTTTTCTTTTTAACCTCGTCGGCCATGTTTTCAGAAACTAGGTTCGGGCGTTGTTTTTCTTTTGTTTCTCTCTTGCTTCGCGCTCTCGTTTTCGTCGTTTCGAGAGTTTTTTTCGGGTTTTACGCTTAAGAGACGCTTAAGAGGAACGTTTTGGGGTTCGCGATTTTCCGTCACGGACACGTATCGAATGTAGAGAGCGACGTGAGAGAACACGGTCGTTTTCACTGTGGACAAACGCGAGAAATCCGTACATGCATAGGAGCGTGTGTGATTTAGAAATAGTTGGTTGATTGGTACCAGTCGCCCGATATGCAGGCTTGGCAGAATGACTACCTACGTGGAACCGGAATGGAGATGTACACCGAAACACTGAGCCCTACCTTCATTGGAATGCCTTTTGCCAAAGCCACTGAGTAAGTCGGTTCATGACCAACCCAACATCCAGCAGATACCTGCAATATATCTGATTCAAGAGACGAGATCCGTGGTTCTGCCGCGTGTCCTCTGGGCCGTTATATGGGGTGTCGTAGCTTCTTCCATGAGCGTACATGTCATACAGAAAGCACGTTTGGTTTGGAAAATTGTCGAAGAAGCTAGTTAGAATTTTAAAAAGAATTATCTTTTGGAGGATGAGTTGTGGATGTTTATGTCATTTGGGTTTCTTTTACATTTGAATTTACATTTTTCTGTGAAAATAGTAAGGAAAGAAAGTGACCTTTGTGTTCGACATTAAAAAGAAAAGTCTTATTTCACTTAAGATAAGATAAATACAATATTTCACCTAAAGATTTTTCTTTGTAGAATACTAATTATTTAAACTTCATATTTGTCACTTTTCCAGTGTAACGTACTTTCTGAAACATGTATTTCTGCGTCTTAGAGGCAAAATATATTAAACCCAAATCGAAGAAGTTTGGAGTTGAAATTGTGAAAATCAAATCGAGTATCATACTCTTAATTGCCATTTAAATTATTGCTGAACTTTGGACTTAAAATAGTTTTGTCTCGACAGGACTGATTTATGGATCGAAGTGGGACACGGTGGAATTATTTGGTTGTGAAATATTATTTATTCCAGTCTAAATTCAATATTTCTTTAACTTGCTTGTGTAAAATCAATTATTCTCTGCTCGTAGCAAATTTACTTTTTGTTGAAAATTAGCGATTATCGGGTTATAAATACGTGGGTCACTGTAACTGCAATGGCAATTTTACGAGTTTTGTCTGAATATTAAAAAAGAACCTAATTTAGACATTTTAAAAATGTTCTAGTACAGAATTCCAACTTTTTTCACATACGAGGAAAATTAACCGTGTAACGTTTTAATGTTCAAAAATGTTTGAGCTAGGGAAGTCTCGGCAAATTGTGACCAAGTCCGAATCACTCGCAATAATTCAATGTGTATAACATCGTTGAATTTCGAAGTGGAGCAGATGTAATTTTACTCGTAATGCAATGTCTATACCAATGGTCGAAGGAATCGACGAATCTTTTCATTACAAAAGTTTCTTCGTTTCGTGGATGCTTATCTTTGTACGGAACGTCCACGATAATGATCGCACAATCTCGAGCGCCGCGGCTAAAATGTCCGTTTCAGGGGAGCACGTATACACAGTTTGTTGGAGAATTCTTATCACGGCAATCCCTGTCTCGGAGATACATGGACTCGGTCAACCATTTCTTTTCGTGCTCGCGTTAACGACGGTGGAATCACTTGAGAAGGGTCGGTAGTCTCTTGAATCAGAAAGAAAAAAAAAAGGATGAAGCTTTGCCTCGCCTATGTCTTTCACTACGCTCCACTGTGCTATATATACATTATATGGATTATATCTTCGGGGTGTTCTAAAAGTCTTTGGGTCTTCGGCGAAGTGGGGTGGATTTCGAGCAATTTCTAGATGACGCGATTATAAATATATTTCTAGACAGAATGCAATACTTCTAAAAATTATTTTTGTGATTTTTATTGAGCTTCAAACTTCGACACGACAAGATTTACTAAAAGTACAGAAAACTTCAGAAGAAATTGACTTGATACTTTGAGTGATTTGTGTTATTCTTTTCTGATGTAATGCTTGTATCTAGTTTGAAAATATAGATGTAAACCTGTCAGTGGGAAATGTGTTCTGAATTCACCCTATTTTAAAGAAGTATCGAGGGATTTTTGGAACACTCTGTATATACAAGATGGACCATTTGAATAGGAGCACCTTAGGTCGAGTCAACCAAAGAATCGACTTGGAAGACCTCCCACCACTTGCCCTCTTGTAGGAAAGTCCTCTACTTCTGGCTGACTTGGCCAGCAACCCGGATGGTTAGAATTCTTCACCATTCGACGAACATAGTGTTGAAATCAAATATTTTGCAATGAATCTTCATCTTTACGAGTATAATAACCCCTTGTCAAAAGTCTGAATTTTTACCTCGATAATTTGATAAATCAAACTGTAATTTCTATTGAACAGGGTTGTTATTTACATATTTGCCAAAAAAATATTACGTTTTATTCCTTATTTTTCAGTTGACCTTATTATCCGATATGTTGTTTTTTAAATATTCAACGATCGGTGACGATGTAATTGCCAAAATTGTTTGACAAACAGAAAGTCGTGAAATGTTTGAAATACTTCGCTACCAAGCGACCAAGTTGGTAGGAAGTAATATAGGTGCAGAATAGGAGCACTCAATTCTGGAACTTCTCCCATCAGCCAAGTCGATTCTTTGGCTCACTGGACTCCGAGTATCTCTGTTGCTTGTGATTGTAAGACAAAAACTGTTCAGGACAGAGCCATACATTTCATAGTAGCAAATACATAAAGAAGAAAAAATTATTCAATGTTATCTTTGTTTAAATGGAACTATATATAAATCACACGTATTCAATCTAATTGTATAATAAATTTACGTATAGAATATATCATGATTAAAATCCATGATGATTAATATCATTAATACATATAATGCTTTCAAATATTCGTGTTATCTGCTGATGAAATATTTAAGCCTCTTCGATTAACTATATGCCATGTTCAGGCATTTTAAATACCATATGAAGTATAAATTTGGATATTAATATTTAAATATAAATGACCAGACGATCTATTCAAACATTGTGATATATGGTTCAATTTAAACCAACATCACGGATCTTGAAAATTCCAACAAAATAATTTACTTTATATTTTTGCAATTTGTGATATCTTAACTTTGTCTTGAAAAAATTTGATACGAACTCACAAGCAACGGAGGCGTTCGTGTGTTCCTCATGAAACGGTCTACCCTGTATATACATATATTATATGAACGTGTCAACTATACCATACAGTACCGTATCTGTGCTCTACACCTAATCGATGTAAGCCACCCCTTCATCGCTTTAGTAACGTTACAGTAATTTCACCCGTTTTTCGCAACTTCCATGTACGGTTCAAACTCGATCGGATACCGCGGATTGCACGGACATGGATAATCAAAGATTTCCTAAGGCACGTCGAGGACAATGGCGTGTAAGCTTGCTGGTTTACCCCCTTCCAAAAAATAAGATCGAAACAAAAGTTTACGAACGCAATCACCAGACTTGATTTGCAACAATTTTTCATTGATCGCATCGTCAATGGTATTGCACGCAGATATTACGCAAATATCGATTTCGTAGAATAGATTTTTCATGGATACTTTAATACATACGGTGGGCCATTTAATTTCATTTCTCTGTTGACGATTGCTTGATTAAATTGTTCAGGAAAATGATGAAAAGAGAAAATATATAGAAGGAAAGATTAATATAATAGAAGTTGTTTATGAAAGAAATTGAAAGAAATAAAGAGAATAATAGAATAATACGAAATCACATTATTGATGTTTTATTTTATCCTAACATTTACATGGAGTATACATAAATATTTTTTCATTCAAGGGTTAATATAATTCTCTAACTGATAACCCTAGCCATAAGAAATGAAGAAGTAAGAGCAATTTCACATTTGGTGGAAAATTGTGTCATCAGGGATGAACCGATCGTATTTTATTCAAGGAATACTCGCGAGACAAAAATATGCCTCGCTTCTCTGCCATTCTGCTGGAATTTTTAGAAGACTGAATATTATAGTGTGCACGTGACTTCGACGCGACGGGTGCTCGGCACATTGCTCCGGAATCGCAAGAGTATTGGATATCAAATTTATCCGCGGCTGGATCGAACTGGAAGAACTTCTGCAGTAGTAAAACCTAGATGGAATTTTGTCTGATAGAGTAAACTTGAAAATATCATGTAGGATAAAAAAAAAACTTTTATTTATCAGCTCCAGAATATGCAGATGTTTTATGGGTGTTCCATTTCTGTATCATCGTTTTGAGCAACTGTCGTAGCCTCGACGTATCATGATAAAATGTAATATACATTGAACTTATGCGAGCAAACTGGCACATATAATAGTTGCAGATAGTTTTTCTCCATCTTTTATAAGAATTTAGAACTGGTCTTTCCTCTAAACAGTTTCTTCATACATCCTCAAGCAACAGAGATATCTAGGCAATCCCAATTAAATGGCTCACCTTGTACACATGCAGTTTCAATATAGTGTACATAATACTATGTTTAACACAAAATAATGTAACGCATTTTCGTGTGCTACGGACTCCCTTGCTTAATTAACTGACAAATTATTAAAAATTCCTTCTCACGATACAAACACAGTTCAATTTATAGAAACAGCTATTTGATAAACATTTGCGTTACTTCCATACTTATTCCCACGTTGTTGTAAACAGGAATTTATTTTTCTCAGTTTTCCTAAATTCGCTATTTCAACGGACTATAGTTGTTAAATGTTTCAGGTTGTTTAGTTATTTTCAAACCTTATCTAGTTATTCTAGACGACTGTCGAGTATACTTATCAAACAGTATGAACTCCGAATAATTGATCAACGAAGCCAGTCAACTCGTAGTACGTGAAAATGTGTTAAACGTTTCGTGAAGGCATATATCACGTATATGCTTCGAATTGAAACAGTAGTGGGGAGAACCACTGAGATATTCTTACCAACAGCATGAACACTTTGCCGATTTTTGAGTTCACTACGTCTTGGGAACGACTCTTGTGCGCAAAAACTTCCCAAGAATTCGATGAATATTTTATTCTATCAACAAATATTCTCTTCTCGGCGTATTACCTTGGACAATTATTCTGTGGACATCTTCGTTTCTCGCCTGGTTGTTCATATCCATCGATCCGACACTCCGCGGTACTGATTGACACGAATGTTGTTCGTATGTAACGAGAATATCACATAACATGCATTAACAACAAGTGGATACAATGAGCGAGCATTAGGGACCGTGTACAGTAGGTTTCATCTCGATTTCGTGAACAGCTCGTTTTGCGATGAAAGGTAACTCAAACCTTGCAAATGGAA